TCACTCTGTGACCCAGGCTGGAGTACAGTGGCACGTTCTCGGCTCATTGCAATCACTGACTCCCAGGCTCAAGCAATCTGCCTATCTCAGCCTTCCATGTAGCTGGGACTATAGGTATATACCAACACCTCTGGATAATTTTTGTATTTTTGTAGAGTCAGGGTTTCATCAGGCTGGTCTTGAACTCCTGAACCCAAGCAATTTGCCTACACTAGCCTCCCAAAGTTCTGGGATTACAGGCATGAGCCAACATGCCTGGCCAAGCCAGCCTTTTTTTAATCTTACATAACATTTTTGAGGAAGATAGCATGAGATCTACGAAATGAGATAGCATCTCATTTCGTAGATGCTTTCTCATTTTGCATTTGTCTGTTATTTTCTCATTACTATATTCAGATTATACATTATAGCTAGAATATCCTATAAAGGATAATGAGAGCTAACACTTCTTGTGGTGATCTTATATGCTAAGTACTGTGGATGTGCCCACGCTCTTAATAACTAACAGTGTTGCCTGCTAAAAACCACCTAGACTCGCGAGGCTGAGGCAGGAGAAATGCTTGAACCCAGGAAGCAGAGATTTGCAGTGAGCTGAGATTGTGCCGTTGCACTCCAGCCTGGGCAACAAGAGGGAAACTTTGTCTCAAAAAAAAAAAAAAATCACCTTGAAAGTGTATGGCAAAATCTTGATTCTTGCCATGTGCATGCCTTCCTGGATATGCTTTTTGCTTGTTTTGTTTTTTTGTTGCTGTTAGCAGTGACGTATTTCCCTTGCCTTTTAGAGAGCAGCCCTGAGTCTCCAGTGACCATTACAGAGCCCTACCGGACTCTCTCGGGGCATACAGCCAAGATTACCAGTGTGGCGTGGAGCCCACATCATGATGGAAGGCTGGTATCTGCTTCCTATGATGGTACAGCCCAGGTACTATTGTGTCCTTGTCCCTGTGGGCCCTTCACTATATTCTCTAACAAACTCTTTCTTCTTTTCCCCCAGTTGTGAGCAGGTTTTCCCTCCCCCGTTATCATCATCTACAGAAGGAGATGTTCTGGGCTCTAGGAGGCATTTTAGTTTTATTCCACATAGCTGGGCCTTTAGCAGGCTAAGACTGGGGTTTTTTGTTTTTTGTTTTTTTTACTTAGATGAAGGGAAAAGTATCAGTAGGAACTAGCTAATGCTAACATTTTTACAGATTTCTCTCTGATTCACTATCAGTATGGTGGACTAACATGATGTACAAAGTACTCTCTTCTGTTCAGACACTGAAATGGTGGCTAAAAATCACAAAATTTTTAATAATAAATTGGTAAGTTAGAAATCTCCAAGTTCTAAAAAAATAAAGATGAAATGCCAAGCCAGATCTATGAGAGAGGACTTCTGGATATCAGAACTAGAATAGACATTAGGAGCTGGAGACCTAACATCCGTGATGTTTCTGTCTCTCAGTGTTGAGTTGTAACTGAGCTAACTGCACAAAGCTAGGAGCCACAAATTGCTGCCATCTGTGAAACTGAGTTCAGAATAATTCAAGAAATGGAAAGGAAATAGGCCAATTCTTCTGGAGACAAAAGAATAACGTAAGAGAAATTAAAACTGTAATTTCCGGACTAGTTATGGGCTATTTTCTTCATAATACCAGAATCTCAAACCCAAAAGTTAACATACAGTTTAGGTTTGAGACAGTGAAATCCGTAGGACTCCAGCACAAGCTCATTCAAAATCACCGCCATAGGAATGCCTGTACATCTCAGAGCACAGAAGTCTCCCACAGGAAATAGGACTCTTCTGAAATTGAACTTCTAAGAGAAAACTCCAAATCACATGAGGAAATAAGAAGCCATAGATTTTTCTTTTTTTTTAATTAGAAAACATACCCCCAAGCAATAGAATAACCAGAAAATGTCTATTTGGTCGTACTTTTGGGTTTAGGTGTGGGATACTCTCCGGGAAGAACCCCTGTGTAATTTCCGAGGACATCGAGGTCGACTGCTTTGTGTGGCGTGGTCTCCTTTGGATCCAGACTGCATCTATTCAGGGGCAGATGACTTCTGTGTGTACAAGTGGCTCACTTCCAGGCAAGATCATTCCCGGCCTCCTCAAGGTCAGTCAGAACCTGAGGCTTATCTAATTATTTTTCTCCCTTTCTTAATAATTGAGTTCATCAGGATTGAGCAAGGAATACATTTGTGCAGGACATTAGTGTCAGTATGGCATGGGTCCGAGCCTAAGCAAGAAGGCAGCCATGAGGGCTTGAGAACAGCACCACCTACAAAAGGAAGGAACATACCTGGCACTCAGATCTTGGTTTCTTTTTTCAGACAGAGTCTTGCTCTGTTGCCCAGACTGGAGTGCAGTAGTACAATTTTGGTCCACTGCAGCCTCCACTTCCTGGGTTAAACCGATTCTTGTGCCTCAGCCTCCCTAGTAGCTGGGACTACAGGTGCATACCACCATGCCTGGCTAATTTTTTTGTATTTTTAGTAGAGACAGTCTAGATATGTTGGCCAAGCTGGTCTCAAACCCCTAGCCTCAAGTGATCTGCCCACCAGCCTCCCAAAGTGCTGGGATTACAGGCATGAGCCACCGTGCCCAGCCCAGATCATGGTTTCTAAATGTCATTCTCCATTAAAAGTGTCCATGGCTTCTTGGAGAAGTGGCTGGTTCCAGGCTGGGACAGGAAAAACACAAACTGAAACTGAAACGTTATGCTAAAGAAGAAGGCAGTACTCTAAGACTTAAGGAGACATGTCAAAAGGACAAAAGAGACAGCTTGAAGAGGCTCCCACTGACCAAATCTGAGATGGTAGTTGAAAAGAAATAAGAGGAAAATTCCATTTCTAGCTAAGAAAGATTTATTGGTATCAGACTAGAAAGCAACTAGAAAACTAGACAAAATACATTAAGCAACTGCTGGGCACATGGCTCATGTCTACAATCCCAGCACTTTGGGAGGCTGAGGCTAGAGAATCACTTGAGGCCAGGAGTTTGAGACCAGCCTGACAAACAGCAAGGTCTCATCTATACCAAAAATTACAAAATGAAAGTAAATAGGAAAAATTGGCCAAGCATGGTGGCTCAATCCTATAATCCCAACACTTTGGGATACTGAGGCAGGAAGATGGCTTGAGCCCAGGAGATCAGGACTAGCCTGGGCAACATAGGGAGACACTGTTTCTGTGAAATAAATTTTTTTTTTAATTTTAAATAAAAGAATATATTAAACAACTAGAAATTCACACCCAAAGAAATGAAATGATATGTCCACATAAAGATTTGTAAAAGAATGCTCATAGTAGCTTTATGTGTGATCACCAAAAACTGGTAACAATACAAATGTCTGTCATCAGATAAGTGAATTAATTGTGGTGCATCCCTACAATAGACTTCTACGTAGCAATAAACAGAAGATAACAACTGATAAAGAACGAAATGAAATGAATTTCGATAAAACATGCCAAGCAGAAGCAGCCAGGCACAAGAGAGTACATACTGTATAATTCTATTTATGTGAATTTTTTTTTTTTGAGACAGACTCTCACTCTGTCACCCAGGCTGGAGAGCAGTGGCACACTCTTGGCTCACTGCAACCTCCACCTCCCAGGTTCAAGTAATTCTCCTGCCTTAGCTTCCTAAGTAGCTGTGACTACAGATGCACGCCTCATGCCCAGCTAATTTTTTGTGTTTTTAGTAGAGATAGAGATTACCATGTTGGCCAGGCTGGTATTGAACTCCCAGCCTCAGGTGATCTGCCTGCCTTGGCCTCCCAAAGTGCTGGGCTTACAGGCGTTAGCCACTGCGCCCAGATTATGTGAAATTCTTCAGTAGGCAAAACTAAACCACAATAAGAGCAGATTAGTGATTACTAGGGCTCAAGCAGAAGGTATATCTTACCACAAAGAGGCTTGATGGAAATATTAGATTGGTGCAAAAGTAATTGTGGTGATGGGTAGGTTATATGACTACATACATCTGTCACAATTCGTCAAAGTATCAAAAAGTGGGTGTATTTTATATTACATCTCAAAGATGATTTTAAAATAAGCAAAGGATAAAAACCTTAAAATGTTAATGTGAAAGCCTTTAAAATGTAAATATAACAGTAATGGAGGAATTAATGAGTCCAGACTGATTTAATAAATAAATGAGTGCCTAAATAAAATGGAGAGAAGCACAGGCTCTTCCCTGTGGTATAATGCCAACTAATGAATATAGAGTGGAATGTTGGAATTGGAAGTTCACCCTTTGGGCCAGGCACAGTAGCTCATGCCTATAATCCCAGCACTTTGGGAGGTGAGCTGATCACTTGAGCCCAGAAGTTTGAGACCAGCCTGGCCAACATCATAAAACCCCATCTCTACAAAAAAAAAAAAAAAAAAAAAAAAAAAAAAAAAAAAAAAAAAAAAAAAAAAAAAAAAAAAAAAAAAAAAAAAAAATGCAAAAATTACCCAGGCATGGTGTTGCACACTTGTAGTCCCAGCTATTCGGAAGGCTGAGGCAGGAGGATTGCGTAAGCCTGGGAGGTCAAGTAAGGCTGCAGTGAGCTGAGATTCTGCCACTGCACTCCAGCCTAGGCAACAGAGCAAGAGCCTGTCTCAAAAGAAAAAATTCACTATTTGGCAGTCACCATGGTAACAATTTTTAATCAAGAAACATCAGTGAATACTAAAGCTAGTAGATGCAAATACTTAGTAGTTAAACAGAGGAAATACCCTTTCAGGGAGTAACCTGTAAGACACCCCCTTAATCAGGTGATCAAAATAAACCAAATGGGACAAATAAAAATAAACTACTACCTCATAGATTTCCCTGGATGAACATAGCAGCACTAATGTGCATTCCAGCTAAAGATGCGTACCCTAAATCTGGTCGTGAAAAATGTCTGACAGACCTAAATTGAGGGAAGTTGGACAAATAACTGTCCTATAATCTTCAAAAGTTTCAAATCATGAAAGTCAAAGAAAAACCATGCAACTAACTGTTCTAGGCTGAAGGGAAGCAGAATGGCATGACAACCAAATGTACTGTGTGATCCTGAATTGATTCCTTTCGCTATAAACGACATCCGGCTAAAATTGGCAGAACTTAAGTAGAGTGTACGGAGTAGATGACAGTAATGTGTTATGTTAATTTCCTGATTTCCATGGTTGTACTGTGGTGATATTGGAGCATATCCTTGTTCATAAGATGCACACTGAAGTATTTGGGTGCTGTTGGGCATAATGTTTATGATTTAATGAAATCTCAAAAGAGTTTGGTTAATATTATGATAATATAACTCTAAAAGTTCATTGGGAATGAAGGGAAAGGGTAAAAATACTATTAAAGAGTATTGAGGTATTGGAGTTTACCTTTAGAGTGCTTTTAACCAAGAATGTACATTTTAGTCTTTCCTTCTTTATTTTGATTCCTGTAGGCAAAAAAAGTATTGAATTAGAGAAAAAACGACTCTCTCAACCTAAGCCAAAGCCCAAAAAGAAGAAAAAGCCCACCTTGAGAACTCCTGTAAAGCTGGAATCGATAGATGGGAATGAAGAAGAAAGCATGAAGGAGAACTCAAGACCTGTTGAGAATGGTGTGTCAGACCAAGAAGGGGAGGAGGAAGCACGGGAGCCAGAATTACCCTGTGGCCTGGCTCCAGCGGGTATGTGGCAGAACCCTGTGTATCACTAGGATCTCATGTCTAGGAAACTAAGCTAGGTCCTTACTCAGTTTGAAACTTTGCTATCTCAGACCTTCCCATTTTATTTTTTTTCAAGCTTTATTCAAGTCTCTAAAATAAACATCTTTGAAGTTTTAAAGGGGTTCTAGTGGATGTTTGGGGTGGAAATAGTAAACTTCTATAGAGGAAACTTCTTATTCAACTTGGGCAAGGTAAAACCATGGGACAAAGTGAAGCTGAGATTCTTGTGTACATAGGAGATTACATGAGAAAAGTTTGAATAGTATGACATCATTAGCCACATTTATTGAAAGAAACCACTGTATCTTACAAATGTCTGACCTAGAAGCTACCACCACTGTGGGAACTTGCAAGCTCTCACTCCTCTTACCTGGAGTTTATACCCGGCTTTCTGTCTTCTCACAGAAAAAAAAGTGTAAGTGCTTACTAGGTTCTTCTGGTGAGGTAAGCTATAGTGGTGGTTCTCAGATTTCTCACAAAACAGCATTCCATCACTAAATTATGATAATCTATTTCTAGTTTAAAGACAAACTGTTATTAAATAAAAATTTTGGCACTTTTAAAATTTTGTACACTTACCTTAAATACTTGGTCCCTGTTAAAATAAATGATCAAATAGCAAACAGTATAAGTAGAAGCAATGACTTATGCTTAATTCTAAAACAGAATATATTGATGTGACAGAATTAAAATGTCTAGTATATATGATACAAGGCATCCCAGTTGCCCTCTATCAGAAGGGATTGCTGTTAGACACATAGTTGGGGTAGATAAAGAGCAAAAAGCCTAATAGATTTATTATTTTGGCCCATCAGAATGCTTTTCTAATTGGATACAGTGGCACATACCTCTAGTCCCAGCCGCCTGCCTCGGCTTCCCAGATTATTGGGATTACAGGCATGAGCCACCACACCTGGCTTTTTTTTTTTTTTTAGGAGCCTTTCTTTCACAAAATGGCTATACAAAACATGGATCAACAAGTTGTTTTTAAAAAGTTCCTGCGCTCAGGATTGTGACACCATATTGCATACATCTAATATTCTTTATTATTAAAGTTACTCTTTGTTAGTATAATTAAATATGCAATTAGTACTTTATGACCTGAAAATGTAAAAAGTGCTTTGTCGCTTGAGCAAAGTATAGAAACTCCTTGGCTTATGGTATAAAGTTGTGGAGGGTTAGAAGCTTTTTCCTTAGTCAAAGTTCAGAGTAAGGCGGGCATGGTGGCTCATGCCTGTAATCCCAGCACTGTGGGAAGCCAAGAAAGGAGACTTGCTTCAGCCCAGGAGCTTGAGACTAGCTAGGCAACATAAGGAACCCCACCTCCACAAAAAATATAAACATTACCAAGCATAATGGCTTGTGCCTATAGTCCTAGCCAGTCTGGGAGGCTGAGGAGGGGAGAATCACCTGAGCTCAGGAGGTTAAGGCCTCAGTGACTGTGTTTGCACCACTGCACTTCAGCCTGGGCAACAGAGTTATACCTTATCACTAACCAAAAAAAAAAAGTTCAGAGTAAGCTGGGTAAGGTGGCTCATGTCTGTAATCCCAGTACTTTGGTGGGCTGGGGCGGATGGATCACCTGAGGTCAGGAGTTTGAGACCGACCACCCTGGCCAATGTGGTGAAACCCCGTCTCTGCTAAAAATACAATAATTAGCTGGGCATGGTGGTTTTCGCCAGCTACTGGGGAGGCTGAGGCAGGAGAATTGCTGGAACCTGGGAGGCAGAAGTTGCAGTGAGCCAAGATTGCGCCACTGAATTCCAGCCTGAACGACGGAGTAAGACTTCGTTTCAAAAAGCAGCAACAACAACAGCAAAAAAAAACACAAAGTAATAGACTCACAGGTTCCTGAAAACACCTACTTTGTGAGGTGGGGAAGGGAAAAGTACCCCTACTTCCTTTCTAATGCGTATTATCTCAAAAGTTTTGGTAATAGATGAATTGATTGCATTGCTGAGCTTGGAATGGCTCTAAATTTTTAAAAACTGAAATTCTGTATTGTTTTTATCGTCAACTTTTTTTTCTTTTTTCCCCCATGATGTAGTTTCTAGGGAACCAGTTATCTGCACTCCAATTTCCTCAAGCTTTGAAAAGTCAAAAGTCACCATTAATAACAAAGTCATTTTACTGAAAAAGGAGCCACCTAAAGAGAAGCCAGGTTGGTATCTAGTGATTAAAATACAGTATTTTGTTAAAGCAGCCTAAAATAGTACATGCTACTGTCAAAAAACAGTGTGGTTTCTTGTTTCTTTTTTTAGGTTTACAATATTTGTAGGTTTTCTGCTTATGTTTCTTTTTTCTTTTAAGACAGGGTTTTTACTCCCTTCACCCAGGCTGGAGTGCAGTGGTGTGCTCTTGGCTCACTACAAACTCCACCTCCCACCCTCATGTGATCCTCCTGCCTCAGCCTCCTGAGTAGCTGAGATTACAGGTGCCCACCACCATGCCCACGTAATTTTTGTATTTTTAGTAGAGATGGCATTTTACCATGTTGGCCAGGCTGGTCTTGAACTCTAGGCCTCAAGTGATCTGCCCACCTCAGCCTCCCGAAGTGCTGGGATTATAGGCATGAGCCACTGCACCCAGCCTTCCATTTTGGGTCATGCTTTTGAATCCTTTAAGCACTTGTTGAAATGTTTTGCAGTTGTTAATAATGTTAGCAAGAGCATTTTTGTGTATATTGTGAACAATGCCCCCAGCAAATTTATTTTGAAAGCCTGTTTATTAGGAAGGGGAACTTTCTGTGCCCGTGGCATCCTGCCAGTAGGTTACATTCACACAATAGGCATTCCCGTTTTATGTTTCTGATCAGCTCTCCCTCAGATAGTGTGTACTTTCATTACATTTCAGAAGCCTTAGTCAAGAAGAGAAAAGCTCGTTCCACGCTTCCCCTGAGTACAAGCCTGGACCACAGATCCAAAGAGGAGCTTCATCAGGACTGTTTGGTATTAGCAACGGCAAAGCACTCCAAAGGTACAAAAATGTACTTCCTTGGCCCGTCCATAGTCTTTTGGGACTGGCATATAAGAGATGTTTACTTATTTATTGAATGAATGCCCAAAGAAATGTCTAAAATTGTTTTCTGTATTTGTATATTCTTTTCCAGCCTTCCCTTCCCTCCACATCCCTCCACCCCTATACCCTGCTGCCAAAGTCCCCATTGTGACCCACTATCAGTACTGCCATGCCTTTGAGATGTAGTGTTTTGCTTTCATTCTAAATCTAGTTGTTCCCAGCCATCTGTGTGCCAGAATTGGTATGTTGGTGTAAATATCTCAGCACGAATAAACTTAAACTATTTTTTCCTATTGTACAATATCCTTATGGAGAATATTTTTTTCCTTACTGGAAATATACATAATTTTATATATATA